TTTTCCAGCTGAGAGAGCGAGAAAGGAGCCAGAAATCACAGCTGCTTGGGGCAGGCAGGAACTGGAGAGGGGGGTGGAAGGAGGCAGTATTTTTGGGGGGGGGAAGGCTCCCTGGCTGGAAAAGGGAGCCCTTCCCCTCACCCACACAACAGGCAAACCAGAAGATCCCCCGCGCGATCACAACCCCTACACTCCCCTCGAGAACGTTTCTCTGGTACCCCTATGCTCCCCACCCAACCGGGGATGCCCGCCCCAAAGCCATCCGTGTCTCTGCAGGTTGCCGGGCCGCTGCAACCGGAATGCAGCTTGCGGAACAAAGCCAGACCAGTCCCTGTACCCGTGTAAACAGCTTGGGAGAGTGGGATCCAGTCGTTAACAGCTGGGAAACCACTTTCCCGAAAAGTCTCTCTCCCTCTCGAAGCCTGTGGGTTAGTTCGGTGCCCATCATTATTACCAGCACCTGGTCCGAATTTCTACGTCTCCTTGGGACAGGGAAAGGAAGAAGCAGCCCCCACCCCCACCCCCGCCCCTTTAGACTACAATTGACTGAAAGCGGATTAAATTACGTGCGCCGGGTTGGGATTTTTACAGGGAACGAGAGGAGTACAGGTAAAGCTGTCTAAACAGCCTGGGGCTACAGATCGGAGGGTTATGCAAAGGACACGGCCCAGGGCAGAGCTCCGAAGACTTTTTGCCGTGTAAAACAACTTGTGCTCTGTCAAGCGGGGTGGGGGGCGGGAAAGGGGGGAGTGGGGAGCCCCATCTTCCAGCCTCCGCCGGGGGTGGGGAAGTATAAAGCAGTCCTAAAGTCAATTCTGCGTTGTTACCCCCTAGGATGAAGACAACGGAAGACACAACCGCTTAAAGCCAAACAAATCCACCCCCTAAAGCCCGGCGTGAGAGAACGAGAGGGCCGGGGATGAGGCTGGATTTGCTGAACTGTTCTGTTTAAACAAAGAACGAGAAAGGGGAAAGCTCCCCCCCCGCCGCCCCCCTCCCGCAATGAATCAGCCAGAAATGATCTGTTCTCCCCCACCCCCTTTATCTGTGAAAAGGAACCACAAGCAGGAAGTGCTGCTCGGTTAGGATTTTTTTGGTTTTATTTTATTTCTAAAGCAAGCCTGCCCTAAATGGACACGGAGCTGCTGCCTCGCGCCCTGGGCTCTGAAAGGAGCCACATGGTTTCTCGAATAATTTCTTCTCTCTTTTGCAAACCGGGAGGAAACACAAAGGCGCAGACACACACCAGACAGAGAGAAAAGATCAGCTACTGATTACTCCGTTTCCAATGATCTTTCCCCTTCCCCTGTCGACCCCTAACCCCACAGCCCCCCCCCCCCACACACACACACACAAGAAAAAAAACCGATGAATTGTAGCTGGGTGGGTGGGTGAAGAGAGGGGGAAATCCCTCTTCTGCCGTAAGAAAACAAATTCCAAGAATGAAAATTGGGGGAGGGGTTGGGCCTTTTCCTGCGGGGGGAACCCCTCCCTCCTTCCCCCTCCCGCTTTGAAGCTGAGAAGAAGGGCTACTGCCCCGGGACACAAAGTCTGAGAAAGGATCAAAACCGGCTCCGCGAGTCCCAGAGGCGCCCTCTCTGCCCCTTGCACATTCCCAAACTGCACCGCAGAGACAGAGAGAGAGGAGCTTCGGGGAAAGGAGAGCTGACCTGTCCGGGTTAGTGGGACCCCCAGCTCTGCTCTAGGACGGGTGATGACACCCACATAGAGCAGGGTTTGCTGTCCATGCAGGTCAGTTTCAAGCTCCGACCCGGTAAATTCCACTTCCGTTTTGTCTTCAACATCACACACACACACACTATAATAACACCCCCATCTTTCAAACGTAGCTGCTTCGAGATTTAACACGAATCAGTCCGCAATTTGGAAAGATGTCTGGAGAGGGGGAAAAAATCCGAAGGTACAGCAAGATAATTCACTGCCACTGAGGAAATGTTCCGAGACAGTCTTACAGGAAATAAAGCTATCTTCTCTCTTTGAATCATCACATAGACGTAGAAAAAAATCTATCCACCCCCCCCAACTCATCCGATTGATCTTAATGCCGAGAGTTGAAGACGTTAATTTATAAACGAGTCCTGCTTAAACCCACCGATCCTTGCTCTGGTGTTATTGTGGGCTACATTCGCCTTGAAAGAGGAGTGAATGCTCATGTCTAGTTAGGAAACAAATATTCTCTGTCCCCGCCACCCCTAAGGAAGCCTACGTGTTTAAGTAAGGGTGGATTTATCGCCTATCCATCATTCATCGTTTAGGACAATTTTGATCTGTAGATTCAAAGGTGAATTTAAACGAATCTTGAGGGCAGCTAGGAACCCGGCGGGTTTTTAATTCCAAACGACACTTTATTTACTCTGGGAGTCCCACAAAATGGCTACGAATGAAACTATAACCAGGTTTAAAGACTTTAAAAAATACTTTTGTCAGCCCCGCATCTGGTCAGGGGCCCACAACAAAGCAAAACACAATGAAAATACACGGAGGTAAGACGGACATACGAATGAATTAGCAGCACAATTTCCTTGTGAGGGTGAAAACATTTCTCTTTTTCCTTTACTGAGCAGAACGTTTTGAATAAAAATGGAAGTGACTTTTTAAGGAATGTCTAATTCTCGCTACTGGAAGGGAATCGAGAGCTGTATGTATCCCCTAAGCTAAATTATGCATTCCCTAAAATAAATCCCTATGTCCCTTTATGCATATATAGTCTGTAACATGAGTGTGTATTTTTGGTGTGACATACAAAAAACTGCAGACACCGCACGATGCACACACACATCATACACGTCTCCAGATATACACACATCGATGCATACGGACATACACACACAGTGAATGGGTTCTTTTTTTTTTTAATGAAAACAGAACCTGAAATCTGGTTTAATTTGCCCTTTGCTAAATGTAACCTCGCTGCGGATGGATCGTTTTATTTCCCCGATCTCACGAAGGTAGATCGATTCAAGGGGATCTGGAAAAAACGAGACATTTGCACCAGCTGTTTTATCCTGTGATATTCCATCGCTTTCCCTGTTCGGTGCGACGCTGGATCTGAAAGGGATTGTCAGACTGAAGACACATTATCTGCCCTAGGTAAACGCTCTCACAGTGGGGGTTTTTCCTCTCTAAAATCTCCCAGACAGAAGCGGGTGTTTGCCAGATAAGTCCGTAGTTTTCGAGGCCGGTCATTGCTGCGAAGTGATCTCCGGCTGGTGTCTAAACAGCGACTCCCCTAAGCTCTCTTCGGGCCTTTTAGGGGATCTTGAGAACATTTGAGTTTACCTGGATCGATTCTGTCCCCCTACCTACGGGCCACACAACTTAACACAAAGACTGAAACACGAACACCCAGGCTGCAGCGCGCACCAGCTAACACAACACAAAGGTGACACACCTTAACACAATTCGCCTATTGAACTACACACTAACGCGCAAACTAACACAGCCTGGGAACCGAAAGCCCCATGGGAACCGAAAGACACACAAGCTCACACACTACACAGATGACAACACACACTAACCACGAACTCAGACAACACAGAGAGGGAAACATACATTAACAATGCCCAGGCTCGCACAACACACAGATGGAAACAAACTTAATATACTAAGTAACGCAGTGAAACCCATTAACACAAATCCTAATTATTAACACACACACAAAGGCATAAACCTCGAAATACACAAACTTCACATTCTCTCGGACACACACAAATACAGGTCTACAACTTGAAATACACACAAACACACACCACACCAAATGACACGAGCCTTACACAAAAGACCCGGTCTATCTAGCTTTACAACTGCCGTCCATAAATAATGAAGAAAACAAGTATATCCAATGAGTATTAATTATCCGGTTACAGTCAAATCCATCACCTAACGCTCCCGCTCCTATTTATGGACAAATGAAGGTAAGAGGAGCTGACATTTTTGAATGATCTCCATTACAGCTAATGCCCATTTCTTAACACTCAAATACATTTCCAAGGCACCCAATTACTAGTTTAAATACCCTACATGATCTAGCGGATGGCTAGTTTGGGGAGGGAGGGAGGAGGGATCCAGACACGCCTTAGGATGTAGTGAAATCATCATTCTCCATTATACAGGTACCAGTCCCTTCAAGAAACCTGTCTTCAAACTCCCCTCACGTCCGGCCAGACCATCTACCGTTCTTTAGAAACCAGATTACATAGAGAGCAGGATCTGAATGGATCAACGCTGAGCTCAGAATACAGCCAAGAAGCTTGTTGAGTGACTCTGTGTGTGTGGAGGTGTGATCTGATGCAGCCTGGTAGAAAACAGTGTCGGATTTTATGTATACGCACATGCAATTGTGTGTGACAGAGATGGGCTATATATGTTTCTGTTCCTGGTACACGTATACGTAGGGGTACTTTTATTGCTACCTAATATATGCAAGTGTCTGTGAGAAAGAGATTAGATACACACAAAAATCTATATTTCGGGGAGCGTGTGCATACACCTCTTCGCTCATTAATTAATTACATTCTATCCGCCTATCACGTCATTAATCGCACATATCTGTCTGATATCATTATCCACACATCTAGAAACACACCACAGTAAACACACGCGTATACACTTCTCTCATTCCCTCCGTCTACACATGCCGATGTGCGAGGCCATCTGTGAAGGCAGCCCCTGTCCCCGGCTACCCAGTTGTGTGCTCTGGCACCTACAGGCAAAGCAGTTGTTGTCAACCTCCTCCAATGCGCCCCCCACCCCCAATCTCTAGCTTTCAGAGGCAACAAGCTCTCGGGCAAGTTGTGTCTTCCCCCAAGGTCACCGAGAAAAATCCAAATCGCTCCAGCGACTGAAGGCAAATAAGAGTGGGGTCGTGTTACATTTCAGCCAGCAGTCTGCTGCCCCTTTGAGCCGAGATCCCTTCTAATTCTCTCCACGTGGAGAAGGGAACCAGTGAGGGTGGGGGGAGAATCTCAATATTCACTGACCTGGGCAGCTGCTTTTTATTTTTTCCTGATCTGCTGAAGATCTAAGGGCAGCAATGACAGACAGACTCGACTGCTCCGGCTGCGACTGCTGATGGCATCTCTCGAGCTTCCAGCGAGAAGTAAAACGTGGGTGATCCACATCCTCTGAACACCCACCCAAATCTCTGACCTCCTCCTCGCCTCCTCCTGGCTGTCTAGAAGATCAGAGCTCTTCCGGGTTGGAAAAGGGCAGAGAACGAGTGAGAGAAATATGATGGGCAAGCCATTACACACCCAGCCTGCGAATCACATGGGATGGGGAAGAGGGAGGGTGGAGGGAAGAGGCAGGTATCGGGGCTGGAAATCGATTGGAACGGGATGTAATCGGTGCCAGGCACCATTGTCGGCGCCTGTAAAGGGTTTTTTATTTTTTATTTTTTATTTTATTTTATTTTTGTTAAGGGTATAGTCGTATAAATATCACCGGGGTTTGTTCCATGTAGATCAAAAGCTTTCGAGGAAAAGTGGCCACAGTCGCCGCGTTGGTTCTTGTTGTTGTTGTTGGAGTGTGAGTGGGGTTTTTTTTTTGGTTGTTTGTTTTTGTTTTTTTGTGAGGCACTTGTGAGCATGAGTCAAACATCTGGAGAGAAAATAAACACACACCGATCTGGGGAGAAAATACAGAACTAGAGAGAAAACACAAATCCTCTAACACGCTCACACATGGAAATCTGCAGAGAAAACACAAACACACACACACCGCTCTGTGGAGACAACTCCCACCCATACACAAAGACCCGAAGAGAAAACACACACTGTCACGCAAAGTCACAAACACCCCCCCTGCAGAGAAAACTCTCACGCACACACTCCCAAACCGATGGCGGATTTTTAATTCCACCGGCACCTTCCCATAAAAACTGTTCAAAGGGGGAAACAGACTTGCTAAAGTTCTTTCTCCCGGGAGGTGAGATACCCCAGACATTGTCAAAATCCGACGGTGAACTTCCTAAAACGCAACAGGGCCAGATTCAACCCCCGTCCACAGTAGAGAAGGGCAGACCGTTTTTAGAGTCGGGCCCTGCACCCAGGAAATTAAACTGTGTAAACATTAAACGATGCACGAATCACCTAGGTTTTCCTTCCCCAGAATGATACAGTCAAATGCCGTCGCTGGTGATTTTTAAACACGCTGTGTGTTGTTAAATAGACCTCTGTTCTCGTGCCAGTTAGTTTGCACAAGACAAACAACAACAAAAGAGGCTCGTGATCTTATTTCAGCTCTGAAAGGGGGACGCGGGGAAAGCACCTTTTGCGTGGATCATGCCTAGGAAAACACCCCACTTCTAAGCTGGTGGCTGGTGGGCTTTCCGTGCCCAGAGAGCAGTAAGTAGCTAATACAGAGGGGGCAGCCTGGCTGTGAAATCTTCCTTCACTGATGCAGTTGTTGGACAGGTTAAAACTCAGCAATAACCCACTGCAATAGTCCACTTCCATGCCCTCCTAGTTCGGGTAGTTCTGGGAGATTCGGGACGTGCTAATGTTAACACTAAACCTTCGGACAGTCAGGAACCATCACGTGTCTATTTCAATCAGGCGCTTCCCGAAAGATCATGGTTCGAATCGTTTCTATTTCGCCGAACTGGGGAGGGGAGGAGAATCATGGACACATTGGTAGTCGGTGCACAGCTTTGGTGATAGGGAGACAAAAGGCGGCTGTGCCCGGGCGATCCAGCTGTAACGCTTTCGATCACGTAGCTGGAGCGTAGTTTAAATCGAGACTGAAGTGAGGGTCCAAATCGGATTGAGAATACGGAGAGCACCGGGCTGTTTTCCCGGGGCACGTTTTATGTCGCTACCGTCCAAACCTCACGTGTGTGTGTGTGTGGTGGGGGGGGGGGAAATAAACAAAAGTAAAATCAAGCCACCGATTTCTGCTCCCTGATGCAACTGACCAGGCAAGGCAGCGGCACAGGACGGAAGGGGAGGTTATTCTCCCGTCAGGGTATTTGTACAGAAGAGAGCGACCCCCCCACCCACTCCCCGCGAGATGCTTTTCTTTTGTTGGTGGAAGGATCTCTAGTCATTGATGAAAAGCTTCGGGCACTTCCAGAAAGACAGAATGCCGGGCAGACACGTTTCATAAGGAATCACTTGGAAATGTTGTCCCTACAAAAGAAGCCCAGGGCAGCTAGATTGTATTTTTTGCCATGATTCTTATTTCACTTTTAGTATCAGAGAATAGAAGGCGGGGGGGGGGGGAGGAACCTCCACTTGAGTTTCGATGCACTCTCTTGTTTCTACACTCCCCTAAATGATCCGGTGCCTGCGAGGGAGACGTGGTGCCCTGTATAGCGCACAGCGATCAGACCATGCAGCGGCAGGGCCCTGGTGCACCTAGTCCGGGGCGGTCCGGTCCTTGATTTCAACGGGCTTTGGCTCAAGTCTTATGTCACCGGGCAGAAAATGCACCTTTCCTGCTCTGCCGTTAGCTCATCAGCCAAACAGGGGGGGCCGGGCCTGACCGCCAGCAGTGGGGCGTGAGAGAAGGGGCTTTGGTTTGGTTTTACCCCAGTTGAAACTGCGCTTAGTAAATCAGGGAGTAAATTGATCATTTTAAAAAAAAATCCACTCCTAGCTCTGGGTTATTTTTTTTTCTGCAGACGCTGGCAATTTGCTATCTCCCTTTCTAAAGCGACTCTTTGTAAGGGGAAGAGTAACAGAATCGCTCCCCCAATTCTATCTTTAGCGAACACATCCAATTAAGGCGATACATTCAAGATAATTAGGACGGCAGCGGGGAGTCGCTTCTCAATGAAATACAAATAAAAACAGGCAAGCGAGACCACTGACATTTTTAATTCGGATCCCGTAGAAACGGATGGAGAGCAGGTAGAGGGAATACAGAAGGATATGGGCTCGCTATTCAACGTCGTGTTAAAACCACAAGGCGTGCGAGATTTAAAAAGCGTGTATTAAGCCGATAGGAAGAGCCGAGGCTAAATTCTTGAAGAAGAATAAAGAGCGAAGTGGGAATAAAATGAATTAATGGATCGTTTCCTCCATTATTAACCGATAGAATTATTTGCTGCGGTATATTTGGGTTATATTGTGGTTGGTTAAATGGTTGTAAGTTCAACAATTAAAGCTGGTGTCTACAGAAGCTCGTCCCAAACTAAGTTGTCTGCTTGGAAATATGTAGGTACAATAAACATGACGCTGCAGTATTGTGGGGCTATGCAGGACTGCAGATATTCCGGGGAGGGGGGGAATATTGAGCTTCATTGGATCTAGATGGATCCGACTTCCTATGGGCAAGAGAGCAGCCTGCGAAATTGTGAAAGACAATCCAGACACCTTCTCTTTTGTTTCAATATTCAGCCTGTATCAAGCCCGTTTCTGCAGCAGGGACTGGTAGGTAGCTGGACACACACACACACACACACACACACACACACACACACACCGAGAGAGAGAGAGAG